GCTAAGAGATCCTAATGTATGTTTCCACCCACTCACAACATTATGTTCCAACAATGTGACCATCATGTGTAATAGAAAATGCTGGCTAAGGATAATAGAAAACTGAATTGTATTCAGAGGTGCATGCGTATTGGCAGGATATTTCAGTGTTATATTCGTACTGAAGATTTAATATACTTACTTTCTGTGGATTCATTTTTCTTTATTAGAATTTTTTTTGGATTTGATTAAGTCTATAAACAATAACAAAATTGTCTGTATTAATGAATATTACTCATTAATGCATTTAAATAATACATTTACAGGATATATAAAACAATTTTGCTGGCACTTTAAAAAAAGAATTTAGAAAAATAGAAAAAGGTTTTGGTACTAAACACATGTTGGAAACAAGGTTAAAAAAAAAAAAAAAAAGAAAAAAAAAGTTTATAAATACCCTTTATGTGCTTTCTGGCATTATGATTTTCACCACTTCCCCTATATTTTAGGTCTAAGTGAAATGTGAAAGTATCAAGTATAATAACATGAATGGGTTACTACAGAGCAAGCTAAATGGGTTACTACAGCATGCAGAGGCTAAAGTTTTTAGTGTCACAAATGCAGCTCCTTCAACATGGGCAGATCACCAGGGTTACTTAAGCCTAAAACCAGTTTAGAGGAGATTAATCTCAGATTTTTGGATGCTAAATTTGCTTTAATAAGGAACTGCCCTTTGTGTTATTCCTTACACTGAGAGACGGAGATGCCATCTCAGTGTGCTTTCAAATAACCTGGGTTTAGCAGAATCAGCAGCCTCATAATGTTGATAATGTTAAGAGCAGCTATATTCCAGCATACAGTATAGGACTCAAAATTAATATGTTATATGCTCCATATATGTTTACTTTTTAATTTGCTGAGAGACTCCTATTTTCTTATAAAATAAAAAAAACAAGTTTGAATCCTCACATATCACGTGAAATATAACCTGCTCTACCTGACCTCAGTCTTTAAACAGTGATAGCAGAAGTCTACAAATACAAAAAAACAATATTAGGTATTAGGTTGTAATATTTTTGGTTGACAATGGGATAAAGATGTGACAATATAACATTCCCCATTATTTTTATGATTTGTTCTAAATAATGCCTCTGATGTTAAGATCATATTAAACATAGATTTAATTAAATTATATTAGCATGAGTAAACAAATGTACCTGTTGTTCAGTAATCCAAAGTAAAAGATGCAGGTGACTATTAGCTTGCTATATATAATCATGCTTCTTAATTTCAGGAAAGTGATTATTTGAAGTAGCAAGTTTTTCCTGAACTACTAGAACAAATAAACAGCGGTACATTTTGGCGTGAAACCTCACAAAGAAAGCTTCCAAATTCTCTTTAAAGTAAATTATGTATATTTATTTATTTATCTATTTATTTTTTGGAAACATCTCATTTTGCACTGTAATAGAAATTACTTTTGCTGTAGCCTGTTACTATTGCAGAAATTTTTTCGCCTTTCACACTTTGACAAATTTCATATTCATTTTGACCTGAAGAGAGAAAAATATGGAGTATAATTGTATTGATAATTTGACCATAATAAATTTCGTAATGTTTACAAACAGATTGGAAGATAATGCGGTATATCACAAAAAGAAGTAAAAAGGACATGATGCAAATGAGTTACAACATGACTGATATGTTATTTAGTGTATGATGTCATGAACCATTGTCCTTAAAATGCATCTAATTTAAACACAGAACAGAACACAATTAGTTCCTTCAACCTTAATTTGTTAGCCATAAACAATTAGGTCCATATATGAACTTCCACAAAGGGAAAAAAAACCTTAGACCATAAGCTGCAATTGTGCTTTTATTTCTTCTGCAACTTCCATAAGTAATTTACCTGTGGTAAAGGGATCTTTAAAGGAATCTTAAAAAAAAAAAAAAAAATCTTCTAAAAAATGTTTTACACATTTATTTATTGTTTTTTTTCTATTGAATTTAAAATACTATTCTACAGGAATAAGACATTCTTTGTTTGCTGAACGATCTCATACATATTGATTTGATATCATGTATTTTCATATGATTAAAATATTTGTTCCTAGCACATTAGCCCTTACAAACTTAACAATCCTCCACCATGCATAACCATAGCACTAACTACCAATCAAACCCATTAACTGCATATTTACAGGAAGGGTCTTAAAACAATAAATATGGCTAATTCAGTAAGGTAAGTGCATACTGCGGACGCACATCCAGTCTAAAAACTGTCAAAGCAATAGTAGATAGGCATAGAAAAGAAACCTGCAATGGGAGCAAATAGTTCCACCAACTGATGCTGCAAAGGTTTACTATTATTATTTGTTTTCTGTGGCATTAATCTGTTGTTTGCCACAAGCAGGTGACAGCACAATATAGTCCTGTGACAAAGAAACATTTCCTCAGAAAACCTAGAGATGTTTGTGAGAACGACAAACTCAGCTTATTCAGTTCATGTGCTCTGATAACAACTGACACAGTGATGAATGAACTCACCACTAAGTTATTAAGCAGTAGAAGATGCAGAGTGATATTTGGATCATAAGCATATCTTTACATGCAGAGCATGCTGCCCCATATGTGAGCTTATGAATATACACATGAAAGAGCAATAAAAAAATATTCTGCCTTATGTCCCCTCCTGGTTCAACTATTTTAAGCTAGTTGAGCATGCATATATTTTTTGCATTTCACAACATGTGATGTTTGCAACAAAACTAGCAAAGCTAATGTAATCATCTAAATATAAAAAACAACAAAAAACATAAAATATTTCTGCAGAAAAAAACTAAGGGTGATATAATATACATGCTTAATGATTGCATAGCTGATGTGTTTTTTATATGAATTAGAAAGATGACAAGTTTTATCTTATATTGCATATTTAAAACATAACAAAAATTTAAAAAAGTAGCTACTTTTCCCAAAAAGTAATTTTGGTACTTATTCCATTCTCTAGTCAAAGGTACAAGTTCGTTACTAGGCAGTTACTAGTTACTAGGCAAATTGACCATGCAGTCACCTTTAATGATCAAAAATGTTCATGAATTTAGATAACTTTCTGGCTGTTGAACTTTAAAAAAATAGGGAATGATTAGTTAATCAATCCCTATTTTTTCTTTTTCTTTTCAGTTGTTAAACATTGGGATATCTTTCTGTAGGCAGAAAGATTAAATTTTACAACAATATATTTCACTAAAATACTCGGCAGAAGAATTCAGAATCATTACGTAAACAATTATTAGTTCATTGTACATTTACAGGCAAAGTGGGAGTTTGAAGAGGAAACTGTTGCCTACTTAGAGAAGGTCGTTGTGCGTGGATGTGTGAGCCCAGTTTAAGCTGAAGTTTCTACTTTTATGCAGTACCCTGTGTCAGCAATCGAAAGGGAACTTGTGCGTTTTCTAGGTCTGGGGTGCTGCAAATCTAATTTCCTTTCTCACTTTTCAACTGTACTAAGTCCCCAGACTTACCAAAGTTCACTTCAGGTCAACTTCTTCTCAATAACTTTCTAATAACTTTGAAAATGTTCTACCTCCTGTTTGACACCACCCTCCAAGAAGCATACACTTCATAAGATGACATAAGATTTTTTTCCCCTGTTTTGTTCATCAAATTATAGCCTCATATGTACTTAGGTTCTACTTTATATCTTATTTTAACAAGTCAATGGTTGCCAAAATTAGCCTTTTCATGTATGCTTTAGGGAGGATCCAAGAGACTATGTGTTTTTTTTTTTTTTATTCCTTAAAGGTTGAAGGTTGTGGTTAGCACCTAATAAAAATAAATGAATGTATGTCTGTTATGTATAGTATATCCTAATTTAATTGTTAATACTGTCAACATTGTATTCTTTTGCTTTTGTAACATAATAATTATTATAATCATTATCACCATCATATTATTATTATTATTATTAATAATATTATCAATAACTATTGTACAGTAGAGCATTAAGGGTTTTAAAACATTTTATAAATCAACAATCGTGATGAGAAAAATAACACAATACTTGAGAAATGTCAGCAATTGATTTATCTTTGCTTTAGTGTTACGTTTTGTAAGATAAATGTATGAAATGTAGAAAACAAAATTTGCAGCTGTACATAATTTTCTTGGCAAATTTATTCAGCAATTAATTGATTGCCCCATTAAAGGTAGTGTCTCTCATTTCTAGCTAGAACATTAGGAGGTCTGAAAGTGCATGCATTTTTAATGGCTCATTAATTAAATGCAGCAAGAAAGTAACTTTAGTTTATTAGTCTGTGCATACATTGTAGCTTTTGAGTGCAGTTAACCAAGTCTGTTTAAGAAGTTGTGTTAGATATTTGGAGCTCGTGTTAGTTTACCCTCCATTGTTGTGTTAAACTAGGAAGAATACTAGATTTACTGTTTGAGTTTGGGGTTTATTTAACTTGTTTAGGATTTTTCCCCAGGAGATGCACACAAGTATACCACTTCATTTAGTCAGCAATAGATACTTGAAGTCTGGAACTTAGTAAAAATAAAAGACAATGTGACAGTCGGTATCTGTTGGGTTTTTTATGTTTATTGGATGCCATGCTGCTAAAATTAGTTGATATATTATAAAGAAAATGTTAGCTAATAAAGTGGACAAAAATTTGTCCACTTAATTAAAAAACGTTTTACTTCAAAAAAAGACAACAAAAACTGTATTCTGCTAAATTGTTCGGATGCATTTGTTAAAATAAGCCTTATCTGCTAATTGTACAGTTACTGATATGACGTCTGATGCCCTCGTGGTAGCCTTGATTTCCCTTGCTGCTTAGCAAATGAATAAAGTATTAAGATAAAATAGATTAAAATACAACTATAAAGTTTATACAATTAAAACAAATGTTATCCATTTAAAAGTTTCAATGCAAGGGCTTTAATCACTATTCAAATAAGATCCAACAATAGTGCTTTTGTCTTCATCAGAAGCCTGGTGGGAAGAATGCTTTTACCTTAATGGCAGTAGAGGCAATCTGGATGTGGTGCAGCTTGTGCAAGGTGCTCTCTCTGTCTATGAAGTAGGAGGCAGCCAGCTGGTGCAGAGCTTCCAGCGTCACAGCTGTGCCATTGGATTCACCCGCTTCAGATGTCCGACTCAACTTCCGCTTGTCCACAAAGATCATTAAGGACTCTTCCCCTGCAGGTATAGAGACAGACAGGGACAGATACAATAGCTTCTTTCTTAATGATTCATACTCCTATGAACACATAATATTTTTAATTTAGATGAGCTAAGCTGACCCCATGTAGGTAACCATCACATAAAAACAGAAACAACGGGGTGAGATAGGGGCTGAAAACCCAAATTTGTTGATTTTATTTCAGCTTAAATCTTGATGTGATAAGTGGTGCTAAAAAGCATAACTCCAGATACTTCATAGAACATATCTTTCAATAAAAATGAGCAAAAGCTCTCAGAGGACAGCTTCTTGACAGATTGTGTAAGGAGTGAAAGATCGATGAAAAGGAATCAGTTCTAATGGGATTAGGTTTTATGGGCCAGGCGGTTTTCCTTTGCAGAAGACAATGGATTATCAGTGTTTGATTGCAAGTTAACACATCTAAAGAAAAACAGCTCTTCTAACTTGAAATAAGCGATTGGAACGTAGTTTAGGGCAGAGTTAGGAAATATGATTTTACTCATGAGACGGGGTTTGTTATGTTTTCCTCTTATAGCATGTATTCCTTTATACATGCATCTATCATAAAAGATTTTTATGGTCCACGTTAAATTTAGCGTTTTTTTTTTTCTTTGACTGACGTAGAAGTTTTAGATGCTACCAAAGGAAAAAATTACAATATTTTTTCCCTAGTTATGAATGATAGTAAACGTGGTAAATATTTAGTTTAGTGTAACTCAACTTGTAAAATAATATCAAACACAGTATAAAAAACACGCTGTTGGTCGATGGATTTGTAGAGAAAAAACTGCAGGACTTTCTTTAACATGCTTTAAGTATAGAAAAAAAGATTTTCCTGTATGTAACCTGCTTGCTATAAATCAGAGTTAATTAAGGGAAAAACAATTCAAATTTTATATCTGGCTGATTTGTAGATTATTTCAAGAAAATATTGCAAATCAGTTTTTACGCCTATGAGAATTTCGAAGTACCTTTGTGTATCTTCTAACTTTAAGAAAATGTTATGTATTGCTGTGCATTTTCTTTCTTTTTGTTTCTCATAGGCAGTGTTAAGTTTTGTGCTCAGTCTGCTGTTTTATAATTTTGTTTCAGAGAACTAGATTATCCTGTTTGTGAAGCAAAAACACAACTGTACACTGAAGTTCACAGCTTCATGCTGTTCCACTGATCTACAAGTGTTGGTACTTTGCCAAAAATGAAGCAGCAGAAGGAGAAAAAGAAGACTTTAGGCTGGCAGTTACGGATGAAAATGCTGGATTTGTAACACTTGATCTATTTTATTCTCTGGGTGTCAGAAAGGGCTGTTTTGTCAAAGCTATTGGGCTGCTTTGACACACCAGATGTTGTACTATTACAGTAAATGGACAAACAAACCCCATAAAGGAGTTTTCACAGATACTGACTGGTAAATGCAAAAGTTCCACAAGTTACTGAGAAAGTTATATCGAGAAGGGACTAAATCTAAGATTTTCTCCTCTTTAAATCCTGCAAATTCAGTAAAACAACTTGGTTTCTTTAGCTGCTTGTTTGATTTGCCTCTCCGGGTCAATGTAAATAGCTTAATATCTCAAAAATTAAGATCACTAGATACTTAACTGTGCATAAGAATCTTTAAACACAAAAAATGTATGGAATATAAAGCCAAAGTTCTTTCCATTACAGACACAGTGTTATGATAATACCTGAATAAGATGCTGCTGGGATAAATTGTTTTTTTGTTTTTTTTTTAAGAATACAGATAAACAATTTAATCCACACAATGCAGATGTTGTATGCAGTGCTAGGAAAAAAATGCTACTACGCTTAAAAAAGCTTGATACTTTCGAAATTTAAAAGCACAGGAATTTTGTATTCATTACGTAGAAGTCCTCACCCTGTGTCACTCTTATATCTCATATCAGTCAATGGATTATTGTACAAATGCAAATTTTGTCTTAACAACTCCCCACCTGAATGAATGATGCATAATTCACCAAAAGGCAATAAACTAAACCTTTAAATTCACTGAAAAAGTAAATTTATATGTGAAATTTCCCCTTAAAAACAGTGTTTAATTTTGCTCACACTCCTTTTATCCTTTGCAGTTTAATCACATAACTGGACAGCATAGTACACTGCCCTCTCCTACAGTATATGGCTAAAAGATAAAGGGGAGCATATGCAGCTCACAGATCATTATCACTGCAATTACATACAGTTATATTAACTTATTTGTATTATATTTCACAAGTAACATGGGATAACATACCACAGCGCTATTAAAGTCATACATTTTTTAAACCCTAACCCTTAAATCAAACTCATGCAATAAAGCCTCAGCTCTAATATTTACCCACAGATGATTAAAATGAACATAATTCACATAAAAAGAAGCACTTCAAAGAAGTTTAAAACTGACATTAAAACAGGGATGGGACTACTGTATTATGTATTGGGTTTAGCATTGTACATATTTAATGAAGATAGAGTTAACATCATTTTAGAATACACATCATGTTTTTTGGCAAGTCGCTTGAAATATTAACAAACCTCCATAGGGCATGAGTAAAACAGGATAGTGGCAGTGCCTTGAGCTGTCTGACATGCTGCAAAAGTCATGTTTCTCTGTTAGTTTCCAGCAGATAATGGGCAACACTGCGATTTCATTTTTTAACACTGCTGGTTTTCATCATTTGAGAGGTTCCACACAAATATAAAAGATGAAAGAAGTCTGAAAAGGAGCAAAAGGGAGGAGATTGTGCACACAATGGCCATAGAAGCTACGCCGCACGTTGCTTTCTGGGTAACTTAGATCTATTGTTCTGGAAAGGATCCAGTGGCATTTCTTTTGTCAACAGGAACTTCAAAGACATTTTTTGCATGCTCAACAAGGGAATGTGAGCCCAAACAACTACAAATAATTTCATACAGTCAGTAGAGTCAGTGTCTCATTTTTGGTCATCATGAAAGCTGTTTCAGGGTGTCAATGACATGGTTATCTAAAGAAAAAAAAAATCAAAATTATTATTATTTGTAAATTCACTGATTATTTGTAATTAACTAAATTATTCACTAAATAAATCCACAATTTCCTCAATTGTGAAATAATAAAAGGATTTTCTATTCTATTCTAGATTGTCGGTTTCACCCTCCTGTGTGGAAGTTGACAATGCTTTTCGTTTGGTTTTAATTTCTGTTTTTTAACTTACTCTTTGGACAATTTCCATCAACTTTGCATTGTGCTATTGTGTGTGATTTCTTATTCATTTTAGAAATGACAAAATTTGTAAAATGATCAGTATATATTTTGAAAAAAACAACACCATGTGTAAAATGCAACAGATGTTCTGAGCCTTGACCTTTAAAATCCCCATACAGTATGTGGCCTTTATCTTTTTATTTTTTCAATTTGTATTCATTTAGGGTAGTAACACCAAAAAGAAACACTACATGTGATTTGCTGTACCTCCAAGTGTTGCAGAAAGCAGGAAGTGAGTTCCGTATTTCCTTATGATGTTGTCAGTGATGGCTCTGAGAGTGGGCCTCCTGCCCAGATGCCGAATGGTCTGGAGGAACTCTGGGTCCAGCGGCAATGAAAAGCCATTGTTTTCTTGTCTTTCTAGGGCCAAGCTGTTCACCTTCCAACGGCCAAATTCCCTGAAATATCACATAAAAACATGCTCTATGTGAGAGAAAGACACAGAAGAAAAACAATGGTGCTAAAATATAATGATGCAATGAGACTCATATGAGAGAGATTACAGAAAAAAAGCAGATGTTTCATATTGACTTACACAATATAGGTCAGATTTTTGGTAAAACTTAGCCAAAAAAGCTAATCTGCTTTTAGACAGTTTTCCTAAAATACAACGAGGCTATAGTCTAGAAAATATTTTCCCTTCATTTTTTAAAATATTGTTATTTTTTTCCTTTTGAAGTGAGCAGGTAAATGCTAATCACACTGAAAACTGCGTTCATATTCCCACCAAGACACACTTAAAATATGATGACTTCTAAATGAATATTATGTGATACCATTTTAAGAGCAATCTCATGCAGTTTCAAGCTGCAGCTAAAGTAATTGGTTTTCACCATAGTGGAAAAAGTGTTGTGTTTGAACCAATTTTAAATGATCGTTCTATCGTTTTTTTTCTCATCTTGAGCCAGCTTTTGAGGCACTGTGTCCAAAAAGGGCAGCAATCATGGATGTCTTGCTGCTTTTTGGTGCCTCTTTCGGATTGAGTTGGCTTAATATGTGGTTTATTGATATTCAGCCTGGCCTTGGAGAATGCCAGCTGTCTTTATCATCTGAGTGCAGACTGAATACTGTTGCTTGATGCGTAGATTAGCACTATTCAAATACAGCTGCTAGCAAACATACTTCTTTCCGCCTTCAAGGAGAAAAATGTAAGACCTCTGAATTGATTCTGGGCAGAGGACCTGGCTTTTTGATCAAAGAGGTGCAAATAGCATATCACATTTTTTTGTAAGTGGTCTCTCTTTGCAAAATGTACATAGGTTGAATTTTATGGAAATAGAAACCATGTTGTAGACCCACACACAACTTAACTCTAAACTAGTTTATAACAATGAAAAATTCATCTTAAAATAGTTTTCATTGTATTGATTTTTTAACAGGATATGAAACAGGCATCTTTCAAAAGACAATCAAAAATTGATGTTGCTTTTTATCTAAAAGGTTGCATGTAAAAAATCATAACTGGAGTGACTTTTTTTAAGCATGTTTTAGTCAAACTGACTACCTAAAGAGTTTTACATTAGAGGCACTTTCATCTAATGTATGGATAATTTGGGGATTTATTGTCCGTTGTATGTTGTTGTTGTTGACAATCAAAACACAACTAAAATTCTGGTACAATCTGGAAATTAAAATATGAAAAACTCCTAATATTTTCTCACTTGTTTCATAGAATAGAATAGAATAGAATAGATAGAATAGAATACAACAGAATAGAATTTAACTTTATTGCCATTACACTGTCACAAATAGAGAGCAACGAAATGTATATTTCAGGACCTGAAATTCACATGTTAAGCAGACATGTACATAGAAATATTTCAAAAATGGTCATTGAACCACCTTTGGTATCATGGTCATGTAAAAGAATTCCTAATAGATGGCAATGTAAATTGCTGGCTTCATAAACAAAGTGAAAGAGCAGAAGCAAATGGAACCCCGTATCTTCACTATCTGTGGAAGAATCACATGTGGACTTAAAGCCACATGGATTCTGTGCCTTCTAACTTTTCCTCCAGGATCTGGAGTCTACATTTCTAAATAAAATGCTAACATTACTTTCATCTAAAAATATTACTTTGGGCCACTGAGCAAATGCTTCTTTTCTTTCTTCTTAGCCCAGTTAAGGGTTTTGTAGGCCAAGTGCAGCAATTATTTATGCATAGAGGTCTTTAAAATACAGGCTCCAGCCTCAATCCACTTCTTGTAAATCTCCCCAAAATTCTTTAATTCATTTATCTTAACCTACCAAATATCTAATCTGGTACAAACCAGGTTATTATCTGTAGTTCAATCTGAATTCTACACAACATCCATATAGAAAGGCTCCTGTGGTAAGTATTTGCAAAAGGGAGGGACATTTGGAACAATTCATAAAGCTGAATGTGTAAATCACCAAGTGGCACATGTCGGCCAATCACAGCAGCAGTAGCAGTTGTGACACATCACATTCTTGATTTGTTTCACAATTGCAAAGTTAACTGTTAAATCTAACTCTTGCCAAATCTGGTTGAAAGAAATGCGCAAACATCTTTCCTGTCCACCAGGCTTTTAACTAGCAATGCATACAGGCGTAAATTGTACTTCCTTTACTAAAAAAAAAGACAAATTGCACGCCCTTGTTTTGGGGATTTACTGCTTTGGCATGCCCTAATTTTCCCCCGGAAATGTCGCTCAAATCTTAATTTAACAAGGAGCAGCTAATGAAGTGGGAAAAATTGAGTGTTGTTGCTTGACGTGCCATATCAACCAATCAGAGAAGCTCATATGGGAGCTGGCAGGGAGACAGACACAGCACTGATGATGCAGGGCGCTTATGATCACGCCACTGAAACAGTATATTAATGCCTAAATTAACCTAAACCTGACGAAACCTGGCATTAAAATATGTTCACTTTTATTATTCTGGTGCCTGCAGTTTGTGCCATATACAGTACCTGAAAATGCTAACATCTCCAGCCACCACGAAGAGTAGGGAAAAAAAACCTAAGAAGCGACCAGGCCTGAGGCAGCTTGTGCTTTATTCCCAGTGACGGTGCATGTGGGGGTCGGTATGGCTCTGACAGAGAAATAATATTCTAAGGCAGAATTCTAATTTTGATTAACTGACTAAAAAGACGATGTGTTGAGGTGGACTTTCTTGCATAAAAATATATTAAACCTATTTTTTACCCACTTATCACAGCAAATATAGCAAAGAGACTCTCTGCCATTGAACACAGAAGCAGCACAAGCAATAGATGCATCTTTACACACTTTACTTAATGCGCCTCAGGAGCATCTCTGACCTGTGTGCAAGCAGAATTAAGCAGTAGGCACTTTTTTGAATGCTCAAAGCGAGTGTGGTGTGAATGTAGCATTACGCTTTCTGATTGTTTGATTAACCTATGAAACATAAAATTGTACCTAAAAATGTTTTCATGTCTACCTCTAGTCAAGCACACATACTCCCCATAATGAGGAGAAAAGCAGTGTTTATTAAAGACAAAATGGTAGATGCATTCCACCTCAAAATGCAGGAAATAAAGTTACAGTAACTACATTTCTAAATTTTCCGGGGGAGGATCACGTGAATACCTCTGGACCCGCCGTAAAGATATGATACACCAAGATGTACAATCTAATAAATATTCCTAGCTAAAAGCTAAAAGGCTTGATATAAAAATGATGGTTAGTCCCGCGAAAACAGACTGAATCTGCAGGTATGTCCTTCTGTGCAACCATGTTTGCCTGCCATTTCTGTTTGATATCATAAAGGCCCCTGCTTTTCATTGGTTCAAAACATAAAGTATCTGTTCTAGGCTAAAGCCTTTACATGTCCTCAAACTGCATTCCCTGAATGTATAAAAGCAAGCTGTTTTTTGTGTGTAAGCTGCATACTCTTGAAAATATTTTCATCAAATAAACAAATTGAAACATTTAATTGTACTTGGCTCTTTCTTCTCCAAATTCCACCGAAAAACCCCAAAACAACCAAAAAACAACCAAACAAAAATAAAACAAAACAAAACAAAACACATACAGACATATACATACAGCAATGCAGCAGAAAACATTGGCTCTTTCCCAGAACTTGATAACCCCCATGGGTGTGGGACTGCTGCCAATCAATCCCCCACCAATAGCATTGCCTCCCCCAAAGCAAACTACAAACAGAAAACAGCTCATTAAAGCCTTTTTCATGTCGGTGTTTCTCTTTAACGAGCAGCCATTAGTGTTTGTGTCCATCCACTGGGGCCAGCTAAAGAGAGAAGCAGTGCTAGGATAAAGATGCAGAGCTGAGTGTGCTAAGCTGAGCTGATCAGCACACTGGCTCACTATGATGGACATTTATGAACGGTTTCACAGCTTAGCATCACACTCACACATACAATAACACCCACACTAGTTTGCATTTCTATCCATAATAGGATTTTACAGTGACTTACATACATTTCAGTTATTGCGTTTATGCCTAACCTTAACATTTACCCTAAACCTATCCACTACCAGTATGTTCCTAAACCCAACCTTAACACATCATACCTTCAAACTGACTCTCTCACATTCAGAATGAGGCTCAAGCACATTAGGATCAGCCTTTGGTCCCATCAAGGCCTGTTGGTCCTCAGACGGTTTCTAAATATACCAAAAACGGTCATAAGCAGGTAACACAAACAAGTACACACAAAAGAACACACACCCACAGACTTTTGTACATTTCAGAACACCTTACTGTCTGCATCAACACAAATGTCAAAAAGGGTCTGCATTTTAGGAAAAGTAAATATTTATTTCATTTTTCGCTTCTTTCAGATAGATACTGATTGACAGTACATACGCATGCAAATTCATCTCATACAACCAGGTCAATGTGGTCAGCTCCCAACCCTCGATTTGTGACTGACAGCCCTCCTCTGAGAAAGCCAATGCAGAGCTAGATAACAAAAGAGTTATAGAAGAGATGCCAGACTTACAGGGGCTCTGATCAGAGAAGAGCAGTTGTACCTTTCTTTCTGTTCATCATAGCACAGCTGTCTCAGATCCATCACTAAGCACAAGCTGCCTGAGGGCTCTTCGCAGTACCCAATGTAACAAATCAGGGAATCAACACACTGAATACCCAACTGATGCAGATAAAACATGCATCTGAGCACTACTGTGAAGGCTATGCTCAGTTTAGTATCTGCTAGGGGAACAAAAGGGAGTGTTTTCGTTCATTTGTTCTATGAAAGCTTAACCCAAAGTGTGTTCAAAAGACTAAGAAAATCAAATAAGTGACTGAGATAAAAAAAAAAATATAATACAAATCCAGTCCACCAGTTTCCTTATTTTTTAGTGGACTTATTTGTTATTACACATAATTACTGTTTACTGTTCATATTAAAGCAATACAACAATGGGTTCCATTTTGAAAAAA